CCTGAAGTTAATTTGAGGCTTCGGTAGTCTGGGTGAGTCAAATCAAGTGGATATGTTCCAAAGTTTTTCTTTTTAGGATAAAATTCCCTCTTTTGGTTGATGTCCCTCCACTGCAGCTAGGCATGGGGACACTTTCTAATGACACACAAAGAGGGAATTTTATACTAAAAAGACTAACTTTAATGTCATGGGTTACTGGTGAGTAAAATTATATTCTCAAGCATGTGTTTTCATGCATTTTTCATTTTTAGGTTGTTGTAACCACATTTCCTTATTCTAAGTAGTCTAAGTATTCAGATCATTTACCTACTGTAAGTGAAAGTAACAATACCAGACTTATTACCAATTGTTTAACACTTAAGTAGCATTTTACTGATGTAGTTGTTGTAAGTGGTATACTTATACGATGCGCATATATATTTGTGTATACAATACAATGCATTATATTTTACAAGCTAATCATGTTTTGTATGTAAAATCCTAATCTGTAAAGCGACTAATATCTGTCACTGTCAAATGTAAGATATTTCCCTCTGAAAAGTATTTGGATATAAAGTAGCATAAGCGAATGGATCTTGAGGGTGAACTGTAATTTCACTGATCTGAAATAACATTATGTTTAGCTCTGATGAAGGCTGATGATATATGTAGCTGATATCGCTGGTACACTGACAACCCACGCAGCTCATTATTTTTAATTGGCTCTACCTTTTTGTGTCCACTTTGCACTTGTTGACACACGCTGCTCTCAATGTTTAATGCTGCCACTGTTGAACCATAGACCAAAAGAGCAAAAGCAGGAGAGCATGTAAAAGAGGTCCTTGCTGAAAGGTGAATAATAGGAACCAGAGAGAGCTGTTGAATGGTATTGTTAAATTGTTGAATACTGGATGAAGTGGATGGAGCCAAGTGCAAAAATCTAAATGGTATTTGCTGTGAATTAAGGGCTTTTTTTGTAGTTTAAAACCTCTTCTTTCACAGTGTGGACATACTAGTAAAATAATGTGCAAAATAAGACTTTTACACAGTGTCTACCCAACTTCACTTTGCACAAGCATACTTCCCGTCAGTCATCTGGATGGTTAAAGAATTTACGAGAGGATTTTGATAATCCAAGGGCATACCCGTGTAAATATTTCACATAATATCACCCACAGTGCCGCAAAACAGCTCCCTCAACTCCCTCAAGAATGATTCTACTACTTACTACTCTACTACTTAAAATACAGAAGGTCACTGCAGTTGGAATCTTAACTGGGATTTCTTGAGGACTTTACTGGTATTTTGGGTCAGATGAAATGCCTGTGGTATGATATAAATACTTGATGCTTGTGTATCAATAGGGCTGCACTATACGGAAAGATGTAATGGGATTGCTATATGATTCACAAATAGTGTTTTGAATGATAATTTTTGCATCACAAATTAAAATTTCTCTGAAAAGCTCTTAAGGTCTTAAAAACATGTTTTCTTAAATCAACAAGATTACAAGATTTGTAGGCCCAGCCATCTCTTCAGAACTGCAATACTTCATTATACTGCTTTTTTGTCATATATTTTACCTTTATCGAAAATCTTCTGGGATTTGCATATTGCACGTGGTCATATTGTGATTTTGATAATATTTTGATTCATTGTGCAGCCCTGGTATACATAATATCTTCTAGAGCAGAGCTTCCCAAACTGTGGAGACCTGAAGACCCTTAAAAATTCAGCAAAACCTCTGAGGCTCATCTCATTTAGTCACTGGCATATAAAGACTGTACATAATACACATAGGCAAGTAGATTGCTCATTGCACATAAAAAGACACAATTTATCATACTGGTTTTAGATAATAGTGGAGTCACATGCAAGAAATCAAATGGAGTATGTTCTGCCTTTCCAGTCCCAGAAGCTAAGGGTTACAGTGGATCTCTGAAACTTTGATTGTATGTGCTGTTTCAGGCAGGGGAATTAGGCCTGTCTTGCTTTCTATCACTCTTCCTGGCTTTTTCCTCACCGTCTCATTCTTAATTTGTCTCAATAAGTCTTCCTCTGAATATATCTATGAATATATTTTACTCATTTTACACACCTAATGAATACAAATCCTCTGACCCACCTCTCTGTGCTGTCTGGAAATGAAAGAAAATAAGAAAAAGGGATAAAAGAGAAAAGGTCTAAAAGGTGTTATTTTAGTTGTTCTTCCCATCGTCAGATTTCTGAGAAAAGGATATTGCTATTTCAAGTTTAAAAAAAAAGCTCTCAGCTCTTCAATGCAAAGCATCAGTTCCAGGATCTATTTCATTTTGATAAGTCTGCCATTTCAAAAGCACTTTCCTCCCCAGTTCCTTGGGCTGCAGTAAAAGGAGGCTTGAATTACATTCACGCAGAGGTCCGTGACCCCAATTCTGGGCTGTCTAAATGACTGCCTGAGTCGATTTCTGCCAGGTGGGTCTCTCAGAGCGGAGCTCATCAGATGACAGGCCCCTTTGTCGGATTGCAAGACCTCTCAAAAGTTATGTCAAATTATGTCGTCGTGCTCTTCCGCCCACGCACAGATAGCTTCCTCTAACTACTTATTCAGGTCTGAGGTTTGTAATGGGAGTAGATGCATCACTATCACTGTATGCGCGTGATGGAGTATGAAACATATAAAATACACTTTTAGAACTTAACAGGAACACAAGCATTTCAACTTTTTCTAGTAAGTTTTATATTTCTCAGTGTAATATGCATAACAGTATACTTATGAAAACATGGGAATTCCTTTGACATGTAAACAAGACGGGTACATAAAATAATTAAACACTTTTTATTAAACTTTCTATTTAAATCTCATGAATATTTTTTTATTGACAAGGGGTCCACAGAGCCCACAGAGAACCTGACTCAGAGGTTTTTTTTTTAGCGTATTTCAAAAGGTCCAATAAATCTACTGTACACTACCTACCCAGCACCAAACAGTAGACAAAGTTAGCGACTAACTGGTGAACACAGTGGAGCATTTAGCAGCTAAAGAACTAAATATTCCCCTCAGTAGCTGGTAGAGAACTAAAAACAAGGTGAATATTTGACTTCAATTTAGCAGTTGGTCAGAAACACCAAACTGCTGAACTCCAAATTCATGCTAATGTTATTCTTTGTCTGCCCAATAATTGTAACTGTAACACATTTTGCTAACACATTAGCCATGTCAATGTCATATCATTAGGTGAAATGTATCAATTTTGTGTTTACAGCCAATAAATGGCCAAAAGCAAATAAACGCAGGTTTAAAGAAAGTGTTGCTCATTCCCAAGATATAAGTTGGAGTTGTTTCTCAATACATAAACTACATGACATAACATGACTATAAATCATATTTCACAGCAAACCTATTCATCTTAAAAGGAGGTCCAACTGAAATCATTTGTTCAGTACCATAAATAATGGTATAAAAATCTATCTGTGCATATGATTACTAGTAAGAAAATGAAAGATTACAGCTGTGTGTAAATGTGTGAGTTGGACTGGTTAAAGAGGAGAGGATGCAAGTCTGACGCTTAACAGTCTGCCCTTGTCTGCGTCCGAACAGACTAAAAGAAACAATTGCTGTCTTACTAAAATTACCCTGTATGTCTGTGTGTGTTTGTGTTTGTGTGTTTGTATGGGAGGAGGAGGTGTTTTAAATGATGTCACTGAGTTCACATTCAAGACTGTGATGTTTATTCAGACAAAGTGCTTACACATACACACCCACGCACCCTTGCATCACCTATCCCCACCTTTTACCACAGCTGCAGGGACCCACTTAAATAGTGAAAACACACCTCCAAGCACACTTGCCCTTACCAACAGCAGGCAGGTCCCCTCATACACACACCCACATACAAACCGAATACTTTGGCGCACACACACACACACACAGACACACACCTAAACATAAACACCTCATGCTCAACAGTGTTTCTTTTGTATCTTGGAAAATGTTTCGAGGCAGTGTGAATTAGTAAAACTTTCCATGAGATTTCTTCCTAACCAGAGTGGGTGTACTCCATAAATATGACATTTCCAGTAAGTCTTACTTCATAATGCGCTTTCACATTTAAGAGTTATGTTGGACTGTACCCAACATTTTACTAAGCCGAAGTCCTCATCAGCAGCTGGAACCATTTATATGGATCAGCAAAATTGATAGGCACAGCAGAGAAATGTTATCTGAAGCCAAATTCTGAAAGAAATTAAATGAAAATGCCATATCGGACGAGCAGTGCAGCGTTTAAAGTGTGCCTGATGTTTCATCTTTACTGATGAGCCAAATATGGTGGCAATAATGTTACCCAGTCACAGCTAATCTCTCCAGTTAAGCTGCTCCATCTTTAACATCCTAAATTATTACGCTTTCTTTGAAAAAACTAATTAAAATAGATAGTTTGAAGTAATGACCAATAATCAGAATCTGGGTGCATCCCTTATGCAGTGCATTTTTGTACTTTCACTGAAACCAGAGTAATGATATTCATACATTAACACACAAAAAAAACCACCCTCCCAGCGTGTAATCAGCCGCAATTACTTAAAAATGTCACACGGCTGATTGTGTCGGTTTCTTGAGGGGAAAAAAAACCTCACTTTTTACTAATTCCTGATATCCTGTGGTCAATACACCACGGCACCAGAATGGAGCATCACTGAGTAAACAAACAAGGCACTGATAAACAGACACAAATACGCATACGTGGTTGGGATTAGTCTGAGATTTCCCTCATGCAGGGTCCCTTCCTGCTGTGGGAAGGTCGCCATCCAGCCTGGAACTTCATCTGGGATGTGTATTGTTGTTCTCAAACACACTTCATGTTTTCACTGACTCCTCTTTCTATTGTACACACTGTTCTGAAGTTAAGATGGTAATTCCAGTTATAGGAAATATGAGACGTCATCCGGTAGCTGGAAGACGTAGGAGGAAGGGTAGATGTAAATAACCTGCATGTGATTGTGATCTCTTAACCCTCTGCAATGTTGTGTCATGTGTACAGAGGCATTCAGGGGAAGAAATGCGGGACCATTATCGTGAAAGCCGAGGAGCTGAACAACTGCCGGGTGAGGACTGACGTACCCTTCCTGAAAAGTCTCTGTTTTCTAATGTCTGTTGTGTTTCTCTGTCTTTTCTATGTCTATCAGCTCTGTCTGTCTATCTGTTCCTTTCTCTGGTTGTCTGTCACACATCGTCGTTATTTCATCTCTCAAGGTGCTTCCTCTGTAGATATGGACAGGACATTTGTATTGGAGGTTTTAGCGGCATAATAGCTGTAGGTCTGAATTTTCAGTGTAAACGATGTGTTTACAGACTTGAGCTCAAGTGGCGTGAGAGGCTAATGCCCCTGTGACCTTTGTTTGAATATTTTAAGATTTCATTAAACTTTAACAACAACAAAATCCCCACTAGAATAGTTGGTGTAAGTTTTTTTTTATTAACTCCCAGCCAGATGGTAAAAAAGAGAAAGGCTTTTTCTATATCTCTTTATCTGTAATCAGTTGATAAAATATTTTTTTTTCATAGTTCATCATTGTTGTCCTTTTTCAGCCTCAGCACACATTTAATCATTTTTGGGTTTCTATTGCACAGTCAAACACAGTCTTTTAAGTAATGAAAAACTAGTATAGAACAATAATAAAAGACAGCTTCAGTCTGTCATTCAGTTTTTGACTGAAGATAGCCTCAGTAAACTAGAAATCATTCTATCTACAAAAAAAAGTTGGATTTAAAGTGAAATAATGGCTGCAGATGTGATCATAGACACTCCTTTTTATTGCATCCTTTATATCCAAGTATATGTGTAAGTGGATTTGTCCCCTAAATTGACATTTCTCTAACTGAGAAGGTTTGCTCTCTATATGTGTTCTTATTGTGTTTCTCTGTGTCTTTTCCTGTCTCTGCTCATTAGGAATCCGTGATGATGCAGTTCTGCGGGAACAAGTTGGACAAAAAGGATTTCTTCGGCAAATCCGACCCCTTCCTCGTCTTCTATAGGAGCAATGAGGACGGCACGTGAGTTCCCTCTCCCCCTTCCCTTCCCTCTTCACTCACCCTCCATCTTTCCTTCTCCCCTTTCATGTTTGGTTTAATCCTCCCCTGCATCCAAAGGAAATTGGTTTCATTGATTTGCCTCAGATCAAAAGCCATGCTGCCTGTTTAAGCATGTGTGTGAATTACATGTGGAAATGTGTGCACAATGCGTGCACGAATGTGAGCATGTGTAAGTGGAATCAGAAGGCACTAAAGAAGTGCAGTGCTGTGGTATTTGTATGTGTATGTGTATGTGTGCGTCTGTGTGTGTAAGTGTTCGATCCAGCTCCATGGGCTCTTTTCTCCATCCTGCAGTGTGTGACAAGTCAGATAAGACCTTGTGCTCTGAGGGCGGAAGATACCAAGTCCACCTGCTAGCCAAGGGACTAATGAAATTACCTCTTTGCAGCTTGTGCCTGTGTGTGTATTTTTGTGCATGTGTGCAATAGTGTAGCTTCCACAGCTTTCCACTGTTATTCTCAGTTACTGGAAAGTTAGTGGAAAGTGTCTTGTATTGTTTTCTTTTTAATCCCCAGTCATATGTGTATTTTGCAACCACATACTCCTTAAATCTCACCCTTTTTTCTCTACTCCCACTCATTTGCCTTTTTTATTTTCCCCTCTCTCCCCACAAACCTTTTTTCTCCCTCCTCTCTTTTTCCTTTTTTTCACTCTCTCCTCCTCTTCTCGTCTCTCTCTGCAGGTTTACCATCTGCCACAAGACAGAGGTGGTGAAGAATACATTGAACCCAGTGTGGCAGGCCTTTAAGATCCCTGTTAGGGCTCTTTGCAATGGTGATTATGACAGGTGAGTCATTTTGTAAATATTAGATATTAACTAAAAGAGAAGACAATCACCCAGAAACCCTCTGAACCACCAGGGAGTTACTTTCTCTGTCACACATACTAAAAATGTCATGTGAGGCAGTATATACACCGTAACACCAATAGCTGGTCCCCCCCAATATATATTAATTATTACTGCCTTGAATTAGGCACACAAAGGTGCGTTCCAAACAACTCCTGTATTTATTTTTAAGTCATAAAACCCATGTTTTTCTGAGTAGAGCTCAGAACAAATTAAATTTTCACTATGAGAAAGCCGAATATCCTCAATATTATGGGACGTACTGGACCACACCACAACAGCTTCTACTCTTTCATCTGCATAATGACTGTTTAGGCTGACTGGGATATGAACAATGAGCAAAGCACACTCGCATATGCAGCTTTTTATTGTTTACCTTGCACCAGGGAGAGTGATTAAATAAATGTGTTCGACTGTGGTGTATCATTGCGAAGAGCTGGATTAGATTACGCCACCCTTATGAAAGATGTTTTGCGCTGTATTTTGTAAGGCACTATGGGAAATAGCCTTCAATGAATGGCAGTTTCAATGAAAAATGTATGAAGCTGTTTTCAGCTACTACAGTAAGTAGAAATATTATTGTATTTGGCAGTTTCAGCGGTTGGGCAAAGATGATTTGGCAGAAAGAAATTGCCTATTATTTTGTTACATTTCCTTAAAAACAAAGTGTGGATGTCCGATTTTGCTTTTTGCTTTTCCTTTGGAAAGTTGTTGCACAGCCTTGTTTTCTATAAGGATTATTTAAGTCAATACTCTCAGACATTTTAATGGAGGTGTGATTTATTCCCCTACACAGCAGCATAGAGGTTCCACTCGAAACCTGCGGTCTTATCTAGATGATACAGTCAGAGGTATACTTCACAGGCTTATTGGCAGATAAGTAACATTATTTTCTGGTGGTGTAGTTTATATTTAGTTCAGTGGTTTACAGAAGGAGGGAGCAGACTGCTTTAATCCTCTTGTCATATAACGCTAACATGACCAAAGAGCCAAAAAGCAGTCATTTCTCCACATTTATTTTGGTACCAGAACAAGTGTCACCCCCAAACACAGTCTCTCTAGTTGCCTTAAAAGGCCTATGATCATAATAGCTATGAGGAGTATGAATGTGGTACGTGATGGTGTGGCTGTTTTGTGGGATTTTAGAAAGCAGAAAAAAATAAACGGGACATGAAACTGTATTAAGAGGAACAAAATGAAAAAAATTGGCATCAACACGTATTTGACCGGAGGCAGGAATTTATAATTCTGCTCTTTTAATCGTCTCAAGACACTTAGGAAAGATGTTTCTCTAAACAACAAGCAAGCAATGCTCACTGCTAGCCTTTCTATACTTTAAATGAATTGTTGTTAGGGGCTCAGATGAATGTGAATTCTATCTGACTGACTGACAATCTAGATGTTTAAATCACTGCAAGGCTACAATTAACTGACAACTTTGCAGATTAAAATAATACCATGGCCAGCAGTGAGCATGAACATAACATGGAAAGGCAATCAGTAGATCAGCATCCTCCTGGTTCCCTCCAGCTCAGGGTGGATCATTTCCATGAAAGAGGGTCACGAGCACTGTCCGTTGTGCTGATCCTGGGACTGCCAGGGATGGAGGAACTGTCAGTGGTACTTACTATTACTGATTCTGTGATGTACAGGAGTCTCACTGCTAGTTTTAAAGGATGCTATCTTTATGACTGATAGAATTGCTTTTCTAAACATCCATCTTATTTTCAACAAAATGGCAGGTCTTTAGCCACTTTTCTTTCGTTGGATTGTTTGTTTGACACTACTCTTTCTAGGCAACACTTTAGGGTCCAGTGTTTAACATTCAGGGCGTTCTATTGGCAGAAATGGAATATAATATGCATAACTATGTTTTCATGAATGAATTTCAGAATCACCTGACAATAAGAATCGTTATGTTTTCGTTACCATGGAATGAGACGCTTTATATCTGCAGATGCCGCAGGTCACCTTTGATGGAGGCTACCATCTACAGTAGCCCAGAACAGACAAACCAAACACTGGCTCTAGATAGGGCAGTTTGTGTTCTTCACACATTTCGTGGCCACCGAAGTTTCTCCTTTGTGCGTTAAAGGGAGGGTGAAGTGAGGGAGTTGCAATCTGCAACTACACCACTAAATCCTACACGCTGGTTCTTTCATTTTACATGTCAGTAACATTTCTCCTAAAAGTTTCCTTACTTTGGCAAGAATAATTGGGAAAATAGGAATTTAAATACTCATTCATTATTAATTTGTTAAGAGTTTGAGCTGTTGCCTTCATAAAAATGATGAATTTTGCATGTTTGGCTGACATGCAGTGCTCGGACTAGAAGGTCTCTCGGTTACATTAGCAGTTAATTAGAATGAATTCATCCAAAGTGTACCAGCTGAACACTGTGTCTGGGTTCCTTTTAATTAGTACCAACTGACATGGTTTGCTCCAGGAAACATCTCGGAAGTTATTTGAAATTTCTGCAAAAAAATATGGACCCATAAAATAAAGCATTTTTACTTTTATGTTGCCTCTTAAAATACATCGTATTTGCCTTCTGTTTAACTTCAAACTGTGTTTCCAGCTCCAATATTGTTTTGCATCACAAAAAGTCCCCCTTCCTGTGGGGGACACTGGGTGCACTTTACATCTCAGGAGATGTCCGAGTGTGAAAACAAATTTGTAGGTAAATGTGTGTCTCTCTTGCCTCACGTGTTTGTATCTATCTCCTGTCGACAGCCGCTGCGTCGTGAAAAAGGCCCATTGCAGCAGACAATAGGGTTTAGTTTAGAGTAGCTAGCAGACAGTGGCATCGATCTGAAGTTTGGTCCAATAAGCTTATTAGGGGAGTTGAGTCGCACCATGCCTTATCAATGGGGGACTCACAGTGGACTGCACATACAGTACACACACACACTTACACATTGAGTCGGTCTCTCTGCAGCCTGGGAGAAGAGATAAGGATGAGCTCAAGCTGGCAAACAATAGAGAACGGTTTCTCTACTCATGGGTGTTCTGATGCACCCATGAGTAGAGAGACACACACATACATACATACACACACACACACACACACACACACACGCAGTGAGACCATAAGATTGAGCCTTGATGATGTGACAGGAAATTGACAATGATTTCACTTGTTAGAGTGACATGATGTTTCCAACTGAGATGTGTCACAACACTGATTAAGACACACGCCCATAAGCACACATATATATACACAAACATGTTTCTACAGACAGCTTTGCACATACTGGTTTCTCTTGAGGAGAAAGTGTTGCGCCAGCCAAGAGACACATTCCTCCCCAGAGTGCCCATCACTATCAGCCAGCCCCTTTCCCACTCCTTCCCTTTATTGCCTCCTTTCCTCTCACGTGCATCTGGCTCTGTAAGTAGCTCTAAGGCCTGTTAATGATGGTTTGTGTTTCCACCTCTGCTCGTATTGAAAGATGAGGAGGGTGAAAAAGTGCAGTTCTTTTTTTTAATTAGATACCACTTGTTTTAGAAAGCTGTCTACCTTTCAAATCAGTTGCAGTAAGTTCAGAGGAAAGTCAGACAACATTCATGAAATACTACTGTTTGGACACAAGCTTATAATAATACATGACATTCTTCCAAGTTTAATCCGTCTCTTTTTCCTACTGTCAAAAATACTACCTTAAACGATTGGGAGAGTATGAGTACTACATAATTGTGTCACTCTGACCATTTTCTGTCAGTTTTGAGTCATTTTCACACCATCTTCCCCTTGCTTGCGCCCTTCTCCAGGAGAGTGCCTTTTGCGCTGCCTGTTTTAAATCAGTGTCTGTTCTATTATCCTTTAGCCTCACCCCTCTCGCTCTCTACGTATCGCTCTCCTGCTTTTGTCAGAGAGAAATGACCCCTCTGTTGAAGACATTGGTAGATAGAGTGATAGCGCTGCATATCTGCCGCTTACAGACTATTCTGTTTTTTTTCCCCATTTCCTTGTAAGCTATAATGGGATGCAGAAATAGATGTATTTGGAGATGAGGAGAGCATATTACCAGAGGCAAATACAGTGACAGGCCGACAGTGTGTTGGAATAAAGATAAGCTGTAGAATGGATCTGCTTCTCCTAATGGCTCCATGACAACAATGACAAAAGAAGACACAACATCAATGCATATGTTATAATTTCAGTGTAGAAGATAGCCTTTTAGCACTTTAGCACAGAATATTAATAAGTCAGTTCAAAATAAATGTCCAGCTGCATCATAATAACAATGATAATAATCTTTATTGTCCACAAATATGGAAATTTGCCTTTGGCTTCAAAGGTTGGTTAAAACACATCATAAATAATACAATATGCACAGTACAGACAATAACGGATATGGTTCCTGTTTTAGAGGTGTTTATGAACTGAGCAAACGTATTGAATTTGGTATGAAATACTTTTTGTAAATGTTCTTTGTTGCCGCAGCTGCTCTAATCTTACACCTTTTTAAATATTATGCATGTTGCAACCAAGCATTGTGATGCCTCAGCAAATGTAAAAACTAAATGCATGTCAGGAGAAATACCAGCAGACTCATTTTGTGTTATAATCTTCCTATAACCTCATCTTGTGTCTCTCCCAACAGAACAATCAAGGTCGAGGTGTACGACTGGGACAGAGACGGCAGGTAATGCCTCAATTTTATTTGCCCCTATATTTTTAATTTTTGTAATTTGAAAATTGTCATTCATCCCTTTAAATTACAGCCTGCAAAAACACATCATAATATGTTTCAGGCCAGTGCACATTCATGGTGGATTATTTTACGAAGTGAATGCTGTATTTCTACTGATAAAATGATTGCCTCCATAATAACCTTTTAGGAAAGTTAAATCTGTCCTCATTATATTATAAATCTTGTTGTGCATGTGATGAGTCTTAAGTCTCGTGGATCTGTTACTCCAGCTGGACTCCCTGGATCACATTTTCATTGTCTCAGTACCTGAAGCAACTCCTTTTGAATTTTTTCAAAGCAGGGCTGTTTTCGGTCTGAACACCCACTTAGTTTGACAAAAATAACAATTATTAAACCAAAACAACTCCAGTTAGACGAGAGATTGATTTGTAGACTGACACTTTATAGTTCTCAACACCTGTTCTGTTTGTTATAGTGTAATTAAGTTTGGTAATATGATCGTGAGGATAGCAGGTTGTTGATATGAATCTAATATAAAATGATAACCTCAATTCTTGTGAACACTGATAAATGCACAGCAATTCATTTCCTTATTACTTCTTATCTTGATTACATTAACATTCAGCGCGTTAGCTTCCTGTGTACAGCTAATCTAATCCAAGTCACACATCATTAACACTAGTCTATGTTTCCAGTAGGTAAGCAAGCTGGGTGCACGATTGACTGCTTAATGATGAGTCTAGTTTCTGGCTGCTGACAGACAGACAGAAAGAAAGAGGAGTATCATTTGTCAAGCTGTAGTTTGAACAGGGAGTTATTTCTCTATACTTAATACTTTTCAATCTATTCAGTGTCACTCTTAATCTGATGACATTTTGGTGTTTTTCAATGGGAGTGAGAAATTCTAATGATTTTTAACAAGTGGGTCTGGTTGAACTGAGCTTTAGTGTTAGTCCTAACTGTTGTCCATCCACATGAAAGTGGTGTCCTCTCCTGTTCCATGTTCTCTAACAACTTACCTCATTGTTGCACTCAATTTGAGTAACATAAGTTGTCTTTTCTGGGATATAAAGCACTTCAGTTTGCTTTAAAAACTCACACATGACAAGACTTAGGGTGTATTCACACATGTTTCATTTGGAGCAAGTGTTTCGAAACCGGGAGGGTTTACCCCCTCGGCATGGTTCCTTTGGGCATATAGGAAGACAGCAACGATTGCGAAACAAGGAAACAATCTTATAATTTATCTTCATAAGCCACGTATATATTTATGCTAAACATTTGGTAACACGTAGGCATGCCAGCACGGGTATTTTCCCTGATTAATAAGTCAAACGCTGTTAAACCTACTGTGCTTGTGTCCCACTCTGTGTCAGTTCATGTAGTCATCCCACAGTAATAATCACTGAATGATGCAGGATCGCCAAATCTGTCCAGTTAACGAGTTACCTGTCAGTGGGTGCAACTTCATGTTTACTCCTCCTGGTTAGTTTGTAAAAAGTCAGTGTGAACACAAACCGCTTGTCCAGAACAAATTAACCAAACTACACGTGTGAATACACCCTTAAATAATTCAATGGAATGTATCGTATGTATGTAAATGTTTTTGCTGTGTGTCTTCCTGCCTTCCCTCTGTAGTCATGACTTTATTGGAGAGTTCAGCACAAGCTACAGAGAACTATCCAGAGGGCAGAGCCAGTTCAACGTTTATGAGGTGAGTGTGTGTGTGTGTGTGTGTGTGTGTGTGTGTGTGTGTGTGTGTGTGTGTGTGTGTGTGTGTGATTGCAGATAATTCTCCTCTCCAGACCAGCGTGCAGGTCAGCAGGTCACTCCTACAGTATTTGGACAGCTCTAACTTTTTCTAAATAATAGTAAAACTGAGCTGCCATTTCAGTTCAACCCACTCAACTGCTGAAAATCTGCCTGTCCCATCTGGTGGGGAAAATACCGCATTGAACATTTCTAATACTGTTACTCAGTTAAAGACAGCTTTAAAGGATGTGAACTGAACTTTTTATAGCCTTTTAAAGTAGAGATGTGCCGCTTTAGCTTGAGGCAGTAGAAGCTTAAGCGGATAAAAACACTATGGATCATGTCCATGTATCTTTGATATTGTCACTTCTCATAAAAACAGACACAATCCAGATGCTTGAACATGACTTTAGAGCAGCAGTAGTGATGTTGTTGTTTACACATCAGGTTGGATTAAGGGTTGAAATGTGTTATCTTACAAGTATTAGAATGATTTAAACATGCCTCCCTAGAATCTATCTAATATCATACTATATTACAGAAAACAGAAATCTAGGATATCTTGCTTAGTGTCAAGTGGTGCAGATAAAATGGAAGAAGACTAAGGCACTCCATCTATAGATGAATTCATGTTATAAATGTATTTGAGCATGGGCAATAATTCAGTATTTATAATTCAGTAATCATACTGTATATTATTTTGTGTGGAGAACAATCAATGATTAAGATGGTCGAAGCTCTCATTGGCTTAGTTATTGCCAACCAACAACTTAAAATCCACTGAAGATATGGTTTTAAAAAAGTATATAAAATTTTGAAGCCAACATGGCCCAGGGACCGTGTTTATCCCACTGTGGGTCTTCTCTCTCCCTCACGTTCTCTCTCATGAACACACACACTGGCAGTTATGATGGATCACTGACTTATCTTCTCCCAGGAAGAGTCAACACTTCTTGATTAACAGAGTACCACGTAGAGAGGAGAGCACACAGGGGACTATCATTTTAAACAGCTGCTGTTTGACTAATCTTGCTGAGATGTGCACACGCTCAAAAGTGCACGGGGCACGCTGACATGAGGAACAGCAAATAGATAGAAACGCACACACACAGACACGCAAGTCATTTTGTGATTTCTGGCCTGTTTCTTGACCCGTGATTTTCCTCAACCTAAAGCTATCAGTTAGAGAGAGAATGGTCCTCAGTGTGTGTGTTTGTTAGTGTGTGTTTTTGTGTTACAACCAAGTTTCAATCATTGCACCTCACCTCCAGAGGCAAACGTGTCCTTGTGTGTACCGATTGCAATGTGAACCAAGGAGAAATGCATAAATCCACACATTTGTATGTTGTTTCCCCGAGGTCCTCTCTTTCTGTTTAACCTTGGCCCAGTTTAATTAGACCATAAAGCTCTGATTTAAAAGCTCAGAGGCAGTGTTTGGGATTCAAAAGGAGTTTCAGGTTTCATGCCGGTCCCCACATCACAGGAGCAATTGTACGTTTGAATGAACTCAGGTTGCAATCAGAGAGAAGAAATTAATTGAGGCCCACGGCTGAAAAAGTGTATCCTTTCTAATCTGTTCACAAAAACAACTCAAACCAGTAAGTGGAGCTGGTTTAGATACATGGGAATCTTAATTGAGCCAAGCAAGGTTTACTGAGCACACCCTGTTACATATTCATGAAGTCACGCCAACCAGAATAAAGCCACTCTAGATTTTGATGGGGGGTGGAGATCAGTTACTACACACAGTTTTCATGTTCAGTTTTTTTTCCTCAAACCCTGATTATTATAGGGTTTAATATTCTTTAACATGATCAATATTTTAACCAATACATTGTTAAACAATTCTAGTTGACATTGCTGAGAGCTGCTTCTTCTCTCTTGGTCTGTGCTGCTCGCCACAGAGCAAGGTTCAAAATGAGTGCTAATGCTGTTTCATATTTTAACTCATAAAGTTGGAGTGGTGCCAATTCAAATGAAAGACTGAATGAAAGAATGAATGGAATGTCAAAATAACAAGAGAGAATATTGTCTTTTTTAGGTGGTAAATCCAAAGAAGAAAGGAAAGAAGAAAAAATACCTCAACTCTGGAACGGTGAGGGAATATCTATCAAATCTGATGCATCATTATTTCCCTTGATACATTGAGTTGCATAGGCTAGATTTTAAATGCAATACCATACTACAGTAGAGCCAGATGGGTACCTGTTCCATACTGCTTGCGTTTCATTTTGTAATTGAACCAGTTTCTGTATTTATTGTGTCAGAAAGAAGCAGAAACTGCATTTATCCCATCAGAGGCAACACTTGAAAGTCGTTATTAACACACAGCTGATTGTGGCCCTATCAATTACAGGTAACGCTGCTGTCATTCCTGGTGGACATTGAAGTCACCTTCCTGGACTACATCAAAGGAGGGTAAGTCAATGACCACTTATTCATTGAACACACACTGAGAGACGGGGGTTGTAGTCCTTTAATGAGAAGTGACATGCTGAGTGTGCCGGTCCCTGTCTCGATAATAACCCCATCATGACTCCGTGTCTGCAATATGCCAAAGATAATGATCCCACAGTGTGAGTGAATCAGATGGAAAAGTGTACATTTGCATGTGAGAGAAGGACAGTGAAAGGTGGAGAGAGAGAGAGACTGACAGATGGGCCAACCTGAAGTCAAGTACACAGGGCTTAGTCTCTGAAGTGTGTGTGTGTGTGTGTGTGTGTGTGTGTGTGTGTGTGTGTGTGTGTGTGTGTGTGTGTGTGTGTGTGTGTGTGTGTGTGTGTGCGTAGTCTCTGCCCTTGTGTGAAATCTGCTTGTATTGTGTTTCACCACTCGCCCATGCCATGTGCCATAGTGTGTGCTGGTATGTGTGTCTATGTACATGTGCTTGTGTACGCTTGTTGCTCAGGAGGGTTGGCTGTGTGCAACCAGGCATGGCGCGAATACTCGCCTACACACTCTGCCTTCATTAGACTCACAGAGGGGGAGACTGTCAAGGGAGAGAAAGGGAGAGAGAGAGTGTGTGTGTGTGTGTGTGTGTGTGTGTGTGTGTGCACGCATGCAACTTTGGGGAAAAAAATGTCCATTTTAGTCCTTGTATTTCTCTGTTCCTGCTGCCCTTCGTAGCTGTGTTTTTCAGGTGTTACAGAAAGCCAGCTGGCAGTTAAAGGAGAATAAAAAAAGTTTTTGCCTGATTTTGAAAAACTCCCTCAAACCCTGAAAGTTTAGCCTTGTTTCCTCTGTGACCACTCGTAAGAAAACAATGCCATCTATTTTCTGACCCGCTTTTTCTTCCCATTGCTGTTGTTCATTTCGGGAGGATTTCAGAAGAGGTAACACACAGCTCAGAGCAGAAGGATAATCCTCTCATTGGCTCAAGCAATTTTTGGCCGGCTTTTTATCTAAGAAGCCAAAACTTGGTACGCTGGACTGCCTTCTCTTTGCACCACAAATAACTTTGCTTTCAATAGCCTGCCTTAAACTGTGCCACATTGATTATTTGGGTATTTGTGTTGTTGTGGGTAACATATAGCTTTTGCAGATGTTTCTAAATCTTCATTCATATGGAAGAAAATCTGAATTTTTGCAATTTGAAAGAAAGTTTGATCATCAAACACCATTTCCGGGTTTAGGCCTTCCCTTAAAGCAGCCATAGTCAATATTTTATCACTGAGAATGGATCATATGGTGTGACTTCTACTATTTTTCATTTTCCCATAGCTCTGTAGAGCTTTGTACTACTACCTACTTTACATGGCTGGTTTTCTGATCCTCAACTATGCTGTTTTGGTTCACTCTCGCTGCTCTCATAGTATCAGTTTCCAGCCACAATAGGCTGCTGTTCTTAGTGAAAAAGCTCTGAAGTTTCATTGTATGCTGCCAGATGATCACAAAACAGACGACCAAGTTAGCGACTAGATGGTAAACATAGTGGAGCATTTAGCAGCTAAAAAGCTAGAGCCAAAAAGGTTTACTGTAACCGGACTAAGCAAGAGATAAATATGAAAGGAAAATTATGATAACCTCTGGAATGTGTATTATACATCTGAGTGGTTACTAGAATGTAATGTAGATATGTTTCCTGGACATGTTAGCATTCGTTTCTCCATTGCCTGAGGCATGAATTATGGACCATACCTATAAGGCCTTCAGTTTGTCCTGCTTGATCTCAACCTCCACCTGTTACCAAACACACACGCCGAAAATAAGGTTACGGCATATACTTTTTCTACTGCGTGCAGTTGCAAAATATATGAAAGTATAATGTACGTATACTGTATGTGACAGTATTAATACAAGATATTGAGGATTCATCTTTGTCTAATATTATTCAAAGACATATGTTTAAAATGTGTTCAACCTTTGTGAAATTAAGTCAGAAAACTACATCCTGACTGTCAGCAAACAATAAGACCTGTGTAAAAAGAGCAGCTATAAGGCTGGATATAAAAATTGTCACATGAAGGTAATATTAAGTAAATGTGCACATACAATAAAGCCTTTGCTAAGCTCGTATTCACATGCAAAATTACATCAATAAATTTGTTGTTGCGTTTGTAAAATGTAGGAAAAAGGCAATTAATATGCCTCCCAGGTTGTGTTTTTTTATCCACAGCTTTTGTGAAGAATTCACCAGTCAATATGCCATTGATTCACAGGGAGTTAGGAATGCACTTTGTGTATGCCGGATTAAGATATTGGACCGAGCTACTGTATATGTTTAAGGGTGGAAATGAAGCAGAAGCAGCATGCCAGGAAGGCTTTCATCTTTGTTTATTAATGCATGTTATAGTCATGTGCTAGGTGTGATCAATTTGCAGTCAAACTTGTCAGAATGACAGCATGTGTGAGGGCTGGCTTTGAAATGCAATGTGTGTATTTTCACCACGTGTCCTGGCATATGTTTCCTCACTCTGTCACTAACTGCTAATGGAGAATTCCCATCTTCGAGTCTCCCTACACACAGACCACATTCTCAGCAGCACTGTCAGTCAGAGAGCACTTTGAAACTCTCAGGAAGAGGGTGTTTTTCTTCTTTTTCTGGCGGTGCTTTGGGAGTGTGAGCCGGGTGCTGTTACACGCTTGTGTGGCTAAATGAAGTGCCAAGTGCTGTCTCACTGTTTGAAACCTAAATGGACTGTAATGGTCCAGTTGCACTTACTCCAATTGCATAATGGGCAGACTGTGTACTTGTGCACAGACACGCTAATGCATGCACTCACTCACAAAAACGTAAACACACCCATGTGTGCACATGCAAACCCACACCTTCCTAGGTACTTTCTCATTGGTGCATTTCCCCAAAATCCCTTGTGTGGCTCAATCTTGTTGGACTGTCAGGTATTTTCATCTCATTCCATTTTCTGGTATTTCTTCTCAGCTCTCCTCCCTTCTTCTCTCCTCTCCTCTGCTCTCTTATCATCTGATTGACAGCTCCTTTTGCAGCTTCAACCCAATCAGCTAATTGTTCATTTGGACCTAATTAGGAACATGATCTGCTGGCAGCATTAGCATAAATGACTGATTTGAGAAGCCTCCATCTCATCCAGAGCATCGCTGCTCTTATTCTTTTCACTCCCTGATAAAGCATTAGTACCACCCATGGATTTCAACAAAGAGTCCTCTATTCATGAGCAGAGGGATAAAAATGAGGAATTGTTGGCTATATCTTTCATTTTGAGTTGTGCCTTTGAAGGCCGTCCTGTCACTCATAGTGACAGATATTGTTTCCCCTTGTTTTGGTTTGTGAATTGAGTATTGAAACCAGAATAGAAGCAGGAGGGATCTCTGCTTGTATTGAAATCATTCTGAGAGGTTATCATTAGATAGAGGAGCAGGCACTCAGAATCAAGACAAAGCTTTGTAAAAAATCAAATCTTTGAAAAGAACCCAGACGTTTAACTTTGTGCTAAGTAAAGCAAATTAACAAACACTGCCAATATCAACGTTTAGGCTAATTTGACTTAATGTAGGTGTGAGCAGTTTATCTCTCCTCTTCTCCTCTTCTCCTCTCTCCTCCCTTCTCCTCTAGCCAGATGGATACTGTCCAACCAGCAACATCTGTTTGCATATCATCAGGAGAGGTCACATCACACAACCTCTGATGCCATTTTTAGGCCACTCAGTGCACTCATGCATACATTTCCCTCTGGCACTTAAATATAAGAGGAAAGAAGACTTCTTGTGAACATTTGAAAGGCTTTTTTTCTTAAATAGATTTTCATTATTAAGATGAACACTATATAGGGTACATAGCCTGTTGCGATTGGCCATCAGGACTATGTAGGTGATGCAGGTTTTCAGTAATTTCCATGAATGCTAATATTATTCATTGTAAAAATGGAAAACCACTGTATAATACATTTACACCTTTTTTAGGTAAAATTGGGCTAAATGGTAGTCATCACGTTTCCACTTCCTAAGGTTTCCTTGCAGCAGGAGCGCGTCACTAGAGATGTGGAAGAGATCATCTTTTCACAGACTAGAAATGAGATGCTTTGAAGATTTAGGCGAGACATTATCATCCAGCCTGTTCAGTCTGCAGGAGAGCTTATTTGAATGTAGTGCGCTACCTCCTCATCAGTCCGCCCCCCTGCTGAGCAGTATTTTGTCATATTGGTTCCTAGCTGAGTCTCTGTGGGTTTTAACAGCGGGGGAAGATCAGTGACTGACAGAAAACCAGCTTGTAAAGTGGCGTTTCCCCCTTCACCCCATTATATACTGTATATACTACACACAGAGGCTTTCACACACTATTCAATGTGGGCAGCCATGTTCTTTGAACACAGTCCTTCCTGTATGTACAACATATTGTATGTGTTGTTTTGTCTCCAAGACGATCTAAGGATCAAAGAAGCATCATGGGAAAGGTGTTGTCATGGTCACATATAGCACAGAGAGACACTCACAGAAACACGTGTGTATGTTGTATAAGACACACAGAAAGAAAGTCCAGGAAGTAGTTGTAGTCAGTGGTGCTGGTAAAAGGTGTGCTTCTTCTCCGCACCCTTTATTGTCCAAACACAACAGATCAGAAAACCAGATGTAAGGAATAAGCAGATATAAATCTGTTTCAGTCAGGCCAAATAAATCTTACCTTAATGTAGCTAGTATGAAAACTTTCATGTACATTTGACCATATATCCACCATATTAAATGTTGCTGCTGGAGCCAGCGGTTTAGGGAAATGTGCCAAGAGGTGGATTGAAGCCATTTAAGAAAAAAAAAAACATCATGACACTGGATTGGAGAAGTTGCCCTTTACCTTCAGGACACAGAATGATAAGGTGTGCTTTTTATTGCAGGCTAAGTAAGCGCACAATCTCATCTCCCTCTGCTGAAGCTCAGACATGTGATGTTGTGGTAAAGACTACTGACTGAAAATTCCTTATCATTCCTGCCAGAGTATTTTGCTGCCTTTCTGGTTTGAACCGGTAAAGCAGAAATTCTTTGTTGTAGATCTCCTTTTGCTGTTCAGGTGATTTTGTGTCTGTTCAGTACAGGAATGTACTATACTTAGGTAAATATAACATTCACAAATGTTATGTAGTTATTTAGTCAGTGCCTCTAGCCTAAGTTGAAACTTCTGGTCTTATCATGGATTCTTTTGTTGCCTTCATTTTGTTATCTTACTCTGTTTAAGCATTTCTTCTTTGACTGGTTTCTATGGTGCTTGGTGTGCTGTGCTTCGTGCCACCTGACGCAACTTTTATTGCCAAATGTATGTCTTGTACATCCATAAATAATATCCTTCCGTGCCACTTGGGTCTGTCAGATGTTTGTTAGGGAAGTTTAACAAAGTTTCTCACCACCACTGGCTGACTGATTCATTGTTTTATTCCTTCCCATGCCACCTTGTAGCAAAACCTTTATTTTTAATGCCACCAAGTTGGATTCCTATTGAAATCAATGAACTGAGGCAGTGGAAACACTACCGCTTTTGTCCACAGGGGCCGCCAGAGTCGACACAAAATGTATTTATTGTTTTAGTCATAATATCTTTATATTTAGGATAAAAGGAGGGGCAGCAGTTGATTTCATGCTAGGTTTGACACTTTTACAAACAAACAATACAAGCAGTTTTATTGTACAAATATATATAAATTAATATAAAACGTAGGAAAAGACTGAAAAAATGGCCAGCCCCGAAAATACACACATCACCAGGGAAAATCCCAAGAGCCAATAAACTGTCTCACTCAAATTCTTGTGTGATTAATGCTGAGGATAGATTTGACCTTTTGGAGAATGTCCTGTGTTCTCATCTGGATATTAATATTCTCTCCATTTGGTGTCAGAATGATGGTGTCAAACATTAGGGGGTGATGTTCACTCTGTAAAGCAAGAAACTCTGACACTGACTTTTAAGGAGTCCTGCCAGTGACGGTAAATTGTACGGTCTCATAGCACAAAGTAATCGCAGTCAAACTGCAGAGGTTTGATGATCAATACCAGTTAATCAACAATTGCAGCCCACTTTGGAAAAGTGTTCAGCCTGTATCCTCAGTTTTAGAACTCCTTTTGTTGTTGCCAATTCTTGCTTTTGTCATCATTTACTTTCTGTTTGTGCCTCATTGTTGTTTTCCTGTGCTGACGTTGCAGAGCGACGCATTCAATTAAACGCTGCTCTCCTGCTTTCCGTCTTTTCTCTTGACTTTTGTCATTTTTTATTGTCCGCCCCCCAATTCACCTTGTTTCCCAGCTGTCCCTTCACACTCACACAGTTGGAGTTCCTCTCTCAAACTTTGTGTGTGTGTGTGCGTGACAGAGAGAGATTGGGTGGGAGAGAAAGAGGGCATGCATAATTTAGGCTGCTAGGCTGAAGCTTGTCTGTGCCAGCGTAGAGAACTGGACCAAAATTCACTCAGATCTCCTCTCTCTGCTCCCTTGTCCTTGCAGCTGTCCCCTAGAAAAGCTAATTTACTGGAATTTTCTTGATGTTTTCATTATATTGAGGAAATGAACCAGCTCATTAAGCAATGTATAATTCAGTTTTTGTCACTTTGTAAAGCCTCACTGTCGTAACGTTTTTATCAACTAAGAGAAGGCTGATGACCGTGAATTTGGACATTATCTGATGGCGTTTAAAAATTTGACTGTATATCCTGTAACAGTTTTCTTCATTAATAGAGGCACCTTGTAATACTTTAACTGATGTAAAGTTAAGAAAATTAATTAGAAAGTTAATGTTTGATATGAAACTTGCAGGACATAATAGAGAAAAGTCTCAAATATGGGAAAAAAACAACACTAGGCCTTGGATGAAAAGGTTCTGAGACTAGGGCCAAACTTCCCTTTGTGTTTCGCCGATTCCACTGTGTCACACCAAAGTAGTTAAGCCCATTCAGGACAAGATTGTGTTGCTGAGGATCAGTTAAACAGAAACATTTTAAGCTACAGCAACTGAAAACAGCTTCATTACAAACATGAGGTCAAGCAGGGTCCTAACTTAAAGAGAAACTCTTTTCGCAGTGTACATGTCAGATTAGGATATGGGGATTTTTCCAACAAAATACATAATGCATGTAAAAACTGCCTTCTGTCATTCTTATTATTAGTTATCTAAATAAGTGTTTTCTCACTTTTCTGTTGGCATTTTTTTAATATGCTGGGAGAGAAGATTCTAACCAAATTTTACGATTTTACAATGTAGTTAACCTAAGCTAATATCTGTCTGCTCACATGAGAGGGCAGGTCCAAACCTTCCTTCTGGGCTTTACTGTACTTTGAAAACCCCAAACATGTGGGCTGATCATAAACGACTCTTGAACTTTTTCCTACCTCTGTCTCGCCTTCTCTTCCTGTCCCCTCTGGACGGCACAGTGCCTGCACTTCACATGGCCTGCCGAGGTGACAAAGATGATGAGTTACTGGCTGTTTGACACTATCTGATTACAGGAGATGTGTGTTAGGTAGACAGGGTGGCTCTGTGTGTGTTTGTGTTCGTGTTTGTGTGTGGCAGCGGGCGAGGATTGGTGTGAAAAAGCTGTGACAGGCCGACAGAGCGCTTAACCGCATCCTGTTCCTGCAGGTTAACAAGTTAGGAAATGTTTTGATGGAGAGAGACGTGCCACTCTAATGCTGGGTGCTGTGGTGTGTGTTATTTGTCTCTCTGATGTTTCATCTCTCTAATGCTTCTTTTTCATCATTTCTATCTTTTGTCTGCTCTTTCTTTCAGAAACCACTAAGTATACAGTTTGTGTGAGGCAGAGCATGAGCCAAAATGCATCAAATGCGGAAATTAGCTTGTAAATAGATTTACTAGTGATATGAAGAATGTGTTTTTAGGCCCAGAGGATGAATCCTAATTACTTTGGTGATCCCGACAACTACTGAATGGATTGTAATGCATCCACTAGTTGTCTTATCGGCACCATCATGTCAAAATATTTTATTAGTGTAGTACTTTAGTTTATGAAAAATACCTGCAACATACCAAATACCTGCACCTTTCTGTGTTTAGCGCTAATTGGAAAATGTTAGCATGCTAGCATGCAAAACTAAGATCGTGACAATTGCCTGTCAAATATCAGCATGTTAGTTAACATTGTCATTGTGAGCATGTTAGCATGCTGTGTTAGCAAAACTCAGAGCACCACTGTGCTCAGGCATAGCTGTAGATTGTTAGTCCTGTTTGCCTGTTAATGTAAGTCCTGAGATGATTGCAGTTTACAGTTATGCGACTCTGGGTTACTCAAAGCAAAGTCTCCATTGGTCCATCTAATTTAGCATTTGTAAAATTTCACTTTAATGCACACTGTGAAGAGCTGCAGTTACAGTTAATTGTACCAGTTTTTTTAATTTTGGGATCAAAGTCAGAGTGCCTACTTTCACATATGCAGTTGTTAAGCAGACTGTAGCTGTGTTGTTTTAAAACAACAACCTTCCTGTGAGCAATGCCTTGCTTGTGTTTGGTGTGAAAGCCTTGCTGTCTCTTTATCACTGACACAGCTAAAGGGCAGGAGGAACTCAGTTTGTACTCGCAAACATTCATCACACTAACCTGATTATATCTGCAGTTCATTTGTTCTGATTGATTCTCATTGGATCACAGGTGTGTGTGTGTGTGTGTGTGTGTGTGTGTGTGTGTGTGTGTGTGTGTGTGTAGGAGAAACAGAAGGGGGGAGTGATTGTTGATTAATGAATCATCTCACTTCTTTTCTCTTCTTAGGACCCAGATTAACTTTACCGTGGCCATTGATTTCACAGCTTCCAATGGTGAGTGCGCAAACACACACACACACACACACACACACACACACACAGAGTCTGAATGTGCACAGACACTCAGAGACTCACATAAAGACACACACAGTGTGCTGAATACCTAGGGAGCGTTTATTCAAATATATGCAGATGGGGGAATCGAGTGTTTCGTAATAGCCCTCTCCATCACACCTGGCAGCTAAAGCTGAGTGCACTAACATGCTATGATGGCCGTGATTAAGGACTGTGTTATCCATCTACCCTTGAGCTCAGGCCGAGCAGGACAGGCGGCGGCAGCAATAGAGCCACATCCTATGTGCTGGTGTCTGAGGAAAGGTGTAATTGATCTTGTCTGGCTCATACTAAAATCTCAATTGAGAATGATGGCTAGTAGACTTCTGCAGTTTATTAAAATCCAGTTTGAAAAGTAATATGAAAAGTCATGAACGGGGAGATTTTTTTTTACAAAACCTTCATGTTAATATAGTGAGCAGACATCAGTAACGTAATGTACAAATCACTAACAGAACCACTGTTGTTGTTGTTGTTGTTTTTTATGGAATCACTTGCTGCTATATTGAAGCACTGAACAGCAACTATTGGAAAAAAAACATTTAGAAGTTCATGTGGCTTTTCAAATATTAAAATGTGGTTCCCATAAAGCACCATTAAACCCACAGAACCTCTGACAATTACCCAGTTAAGTTTTTTCTGACTGTTAACAGAATGTCTCCAAACATGATATTCCTGACTTTTTCATGTTACAGTTTTTGATTTAATTATTTAAGAATTTTTAAGTTTAATTGTGTATAATTTAACCTGACATTTTTTTTTAACTCAGCTGTTTCCCAAAGATCACATTCTTTGCCAAAAATACAACCTATTCTATTTCCAAAACCATTTTAGAAAGGGCTCACATTTATGTCACATCTTGATGCAGGGTTATAAAACTCATGTACTCACATAACAGAGAAAACTTGGATGTTGAAAATGTCCAAAGTTCATGTTTGATTCTCCACACTGTAACCATGGCATCTTCAAGATTAATCACATCATAATAAGTGCATTTTATTGACTGCATATAAAGAGAGACACAGTGTACCTCTGGTTTAATGTAATGATAACAAAGACCTAAATTTATTACATGTAGTCAACACTTGAGCAGAAAAGTAATGACCAAATCATCTCTTTCCATTGTTAAGGCACACTTCCGTACCTTAGGATTATCCTCTGACTGTCTGTGTTCCCTTTGTCACAAACAGGTAACCCGGCCCAGCCAACCTCACTCCACTACATGAGTCCCTACCAGCTGAATGCCTACGCAATGGCCCTGAAGGCGGTAGGAGAAATCATCCAGGACTACGACAGCGATAAGATGTTTCCTGCACTAGGGTTCGGAGCCAAGCTGCCGCCTGATGGACGGATCTCCCACGAGTTTGCCTTGGTATGAGCAAGAGGGGCTGGGACCAGAATGGGAGGGAGTGAAACAGGGAGATCTTCCCTTTATTGGGGTTTTGACCCACCCCTCTTCTCTCAAATGGATGATGCGGAATCCAAACACAAAGTGAATTACTCACTAATCAAAACCAGGAACATCTTTGTACAACTCATTGTACATGGTTCTTGTACTGTAAAGTTGAGATGGAGTTTTGTCCCCAAACGTCTTTCCTCAAAGACAAAATATTCTGGGATACACTCAAAGTTTTTTATTTTATTTTAGTTATCTATGTATTGCTTGGTTGTATATTTTCTTATTCCAATGACAAAATGAAAATGTCACATTACTTCCCTCAAGACATTTCTAATGCAACAAACGAGGGGGCAGAATTTAACAACAATTAACACCGACGCTTGCCAATAACACAAGAACACAATATCAGTTTCTCTACTAACCAAGAGCCTCAAGTGACCCCAATAGAACGACGCTTTAAGTCGTGTTGCATAAAAAAGTTAAGTCACTTCAAACTTTAATTCAGAGTAAATCCCACAGCTGAATAAAACAAGTTATGGGGAACATTGTGTAACAGTTAATAAGAAAGTAACAGAATGCATGCACTGATGGATATGGTTGAACGTACACATTACAGTTTAGCTCTGACTTTTTTATACTGTTATTCAAGCATATGACCCTGCTGAATTTCTTATTTGCTTGGGGGACTAAAGACCTGACATAACCCCAAGTGAGCAAAGTTACACTGTTTACCATACATTAGATGTGCATTTTTATGTAAATATTTATATTAATAAAGTGCTTTTAGTCTAATTTTGTGTGTCATATTAGAAAAGGTTGACGGGAAGGGCATAATTTGGAAAAAACTTTTTATGCTGACTTGAGGTGGTTTTTGCCTTTTTTGAAAAATAGTTGATTGATGGGAGAAGGAAACACTTTTTCCACAGTTCTGACAACTCACATACCTGATCACTCCAACACTCATCGCTCCCATGGCTCTATAATAAATCCATGATATCTCGATGAACCAACTCTTAATAATTACGTAACGGTAGTGGATGGAAACAAACATTCAGTGGCATTTTCTTTTGCAGATTTGGAATACATTTGTATGGAAACATGGCTACGGTTTCAAGACAAAACACTGGCATATAAGCCTTTTTGTTTCATCTGTTTCTCCTCAATGCAAATTCAATTAATAATGCAAGTTCCCTTTCCTCTCCTTAGAATGGGAACCCTCAGAACCCGTACTGTGCAGGTATTGACGGTGTGATGGAAGCCTACTACCAGAGTCTGAAGTCAGTTCAGCTCTACGGACCCACAAACTTCTCCCCTGTCATCAACCATGTGGCAAGGTGACACACACACACACACACACACAAACACATAATTTATAGGAGTTAATGTCAAAATTGTTATATTTTACTAATTTTTCCCACTTCCCTCATTTACATCTTTTTTTTTTTCAGTTTTCACATGCACACTGTTTTACACTTGCATATTTGCTATCATAGCTTATATAATGAACTTCAAATCATTTGAGTATGCGTGAAAGAACACCGAGTACATTTCACTCTGCGACTGACACTCAGCATGTGTTCCCAGGTTTTCTGTAATAAGCTCAGAGCAGCAAGTGTTGCCAGATAGCTAACAAGAGTTCAAGGAAGAGAGAAAAAAACTAGAGACATAAACAGAGAAAGTACCTGACAGCTGATTGCATGTTTGTTTGTGTCTCTGTGTGGATGATGACATGATTTATTCAGCAGGAAAGCCACATGGACACGTCATCCAGACAAAAATCTGAAATTAAAAAAAGACATTAAGGAACTATTCATGCAAGTATGTAATTAAAGAGATGAATTCAAGTGAAGCCTCTCATCAGGTTACATCACATATTTCGAAGATAATTTACTGAAATCTTAATTGCGTGGTTACACACGAAGAGGCAAAGGCATTCTGAAAGTGAAATGGTGAAACAAACAGTAATACAGAGGCAGCAGTTTGCTTTTTTTAGCCTTTAGTGTCACCTGAATACCATATACTCCTTTTTCCTGACTGTGTCCTTTTCCATCAAGACCCCTTAATGAACTTCCCTCTCTGCTATGTTGATTTTATTGCACAAACTAATCACCAACTCCTTTTACAGTAATAACATCAAAATCTTGATTTTCTCTTCTTTTTAAAAAGCAGTTAAACATTTGGGGAATTACGCTTACTGGCTTTTTTTGCTGAGAATTAGATGAGAAGACTGATACCGCTGTCACTCATGTCTTTATGTTAAGTATGGAGCTGAAACTAGGAGGCAATTAGCTTAGCTTAGTTTTGCATTAAAGGCAGGGGGAAATGGCTAGCCTGGCACAAGTTCAAAAGTACACACCTCTAAAGCTTACTAATTAACATGTTGAATCTTGTTTGATTAATCTAAACACCAAGAGAATTTCAGAGCTGCTAGCAGGCTTTCTTAGGATGGGAAGCGACAGCCCGGAGATGTTAGTTTTTACACCACACATAAACTGATGAGTAAAATGTTTTTACAGGGTGTTATGTGTTGTACTTAATTGGTTGGAAGGATTAAACAAAGATACATTAGATATAGATATATTAATAAATGAGTTGTGCATCAGTGAGCTTTAAAGGTGTGGGGATTTTATTACTTCACACTTTTCCACACGTTTCCCCTTGCTTCCAGTCTTTTATGCTAAGCTAAGCTAACATGGCTGGTTGTAGCTTCACTTGTAAGGGTGTCGATCTTTGGCAGAGCTGTTCCTAATCTTCCATGTTCTGTTCTGTTCTCTTTTCTTCTCCTCTCTTATTTTTGGTTTGTTTTGCTGCATGCTCTTTTTTTTTCCATAAACCCCTAGCTGCTCTCAGCCAGTCTACAACTCATTCACTGTTACTGCTGTAAGATTTAACTTCAATAATCAGTTCAGCCCAGTTTGATAAGTACCAGGCTAATCAGCACACATTCTACAAACTCTTCCTCCGAAAACCCCATTAAAAACTTTTAAAACTAGGCGTTGCAGATTCGTGTAGGAACTTTCTTTCATCTAAATTTGTCAAGTTCAAGCCTGCTTACAGTATGTTACCAAATACAGGCTGTGTTCATCATGTTTTTTTTTTCATCTGTAATCCCAGCCCCTACATCCCACCTCCACCTCCTCTCCTCTGTTTGTTGACTGCCCTCATATTTCAATAACTGCCCCCTTTTTCTCTTCAGTGTCTTGCTTCACTCCCACATACAGCTTAGTAACTATTCACTTTACTTCTGCCCTGCTCCTCCTCTCTCTGCCTCTCTTTAGTTGTTGCCTCTGCTATGTTGTGATCATCTACAGTGAGAGACTTAAGTACATAAATATCAGCTATCTATATTGGAGAGGAGGTAGAAACTAACCTCACAGTGTAGAAAGGTGGAGCGCAGCAGAAGCTGTAGCGACTGCAATAATCTCAGTGTGTAAATATCAGTAACAGTCAGCTCACGACCACATGGGAGTAAAAGGTCACACTCAACATCTCGGGAGAAATTGAAAGCTATATTGAGCTGAGGATCTATAGAATTGACATAAAGATAGATGTACAGAGAGTAGCACTTCACAGATTAAAATCCTCCACAGTGGGAGGTAAGTGACATTTATTCAATGAGAGAAATCATTTTCCAAGGACAGTTTTTCTGTACTGTATTTAATTTGAGAACAAGCTAAGTAGTTTAATTAATTAAAAGTACACAGAGTGATGCTTGACATGATCATGTAGTCTATCATCATGGTAAACAAATGAAGATGGCAGCAAAGAAATAACTACAAAGATGGTTTTGTGTGTTTTTGTGCGTAGGTATGCAGCCTCAGTGAAGGACGGCTCCCAGTACTTTGTGCTCCTCATCATCACAGACGGTGTCATCTCAGACATGGCCCAGACCAAGGAGTCTATTGTCAATGTAAGTGCATCTACTGTAGTGTTAACATCTGACCCTGCATTCTGACCCCCAAAAACAAAAACTGAAGATGTCCTCTCCTCACAGTCTTTTAGTTGGAGAAACATCAGTTGCATCTATAAGGGGCTTTAATGGTGATAATAAGCAAGTATACCGGTGTTACTGCACCTGACGCAATTGGGAAATGAAAGCTGGCTTACTCTGATCAGGATTGCTGAATAAGGTCGAAGCAGGTGGTTTCACACACGTTTGTTTGCATGCTCAGGCTCAATGCACACTGCCAGGATCTGATCCAGCCTCACATCACAAGGACTATTGAGTCTGCGTCTGCACCAAAACTTCCCCCAGTGAAATCATTTGGCTCCTCATTCATGAGCGAAGAAGTGTCTCTTATCTGAAGGACTGTTCTCTCAGAGCCTAAAAGGAAAAATACAACGAGCAATTCAATCCCTAAGTACTCAAACTTCATTTTTAGAGCAGATTTTATACAAAAAGATCCAATATAATGTGCTCCACAAAAGATGAAAAATAACACATAAAAAGACAGATGCAAAAGTCAGAACATTAAAAACAAAGGAGACAAATGAAGGGAGAATGGTGCCATTAAGACAGCTTGTGATTTAGTGAGAACCTATAATATATGTAGATTGTATCTAAAAGACAGACCAGTGACTGGTTGTTTCTGTAGAGAAAGAAAAGAAATGTAGTACTTTCTGTATGAACTGGATGTTAGGGAAAGTATTTTGCTGCTTTTGTTCCTTTTTTGTTCTAATTATTTATTTATTTAGCTGTATAAACATGTTTGAGCCATTCTGTGCGAATGGTGTAAAAAGCAAGGGGGTATTCATCGAAATAGACATTTCTCCAAAAAGAAAAGAATTCACCATGGAAAACATTTGCAATTAACAGCGTAATTAGGCAGTAGGGTGAAGCATGTCATAACGCGTCGTTGCTTGAACACAAAACCATGAAAACATGTATGCAAATGAGCAGAATTGTCATGGTCTGAGAACTTGTCTCTTAAATCCTCGTCATCATTACTTTTTTTTGCTCCTGAGAGCAAAAAGCTGCCTCTGAATGAAAGCTGGAAAACAGCTGTGCCTGTTATTTCCTAATTAGGCTGTTAGGGGGATCAGCTGTCACTGTCAGCTTATAGATATATTGACAATGGAATTACTACATGGAGAAAAGGCACATATTGTGGGCCTTACAGATAATTTAAATCTACCAGATCCATACAGTACAAAAACCTCAGCCTCAGTTAAAAGACATTGTCCAAATGTTTGGTGTGGGCACATATTTTTACTCATTCCTGGACATCCTTCCCTCCTTGCGATGTCAACAGAAATACGATATGACTGGGGAGCCTTTACTACTGTTTTTTATTTCAGTGTTTGCTGTGTCACCCTCACTTTTGACAGCATGTAATTCACCCGCTGTCAAATCATAGCATACCATGTAGAATGCAAACAAAACGTGTACGGCGGCCATTTATGTGAAGGCAGTGATCCATCGCAGCCCTTTGAAAGCAGAGATGGAGACGAGAGGTTGAGGAGAGTGAAATGTTAAGGAGAACAGGAGGCTGAGGGAGGAAAAGGAGGCGACAGGGTAGAAAGAGGTGGCAGAGATGAGGAAGAAGAGAAAAAAATAGAGCAAAGGGCAGTAGACACGTAAAGAAGACCTTTACCGAGGGGAGCAAAAAATAAACGAGATATTTTGATAAGATCATCTATTGCTCTGCTGCCCGAGGTCAACCCATTACTCAAATACACTGAACACACGCCGCTGGCCCTCTCGTTCTAATACACGCTCTGTGGCACACATACCCACACACACACACAAACACATGTCATTTGTAAGCTGTCAGTGGGCTCAGGCAGTGTTGTTGATTCTCTCGTCTCTAATATTATTCACTGTGATGTCTCGACCCACGCATCCCTCCAGGAGGTGCTGTGGAAAACACACACGATTCAAAGATTCACACAAATGTTTACACATACTGTACGTACTATACATGACACTTGGTGCTTTGTTTGCCGCTGATGAAGACAGAGGCTGTTTATGTTGACCTGTAGCTCATCTTTATTCTATGAACAACTCACATGGGTAGACAGCAACAGTTTTTCACAAAAATTTAAAAAATGTAAAATTCATCAAATTTTCATTGTTCTTCTCCTGCAGGCCTCCTGTCTGCCAATGTCAATCATAATCGTGGGGGTGGGACCTGCAGAATTCGATGGTAAGTAAACAAGAAGTTGTGGACTTGTGAGTGATATTTATGTGTATGAAACTACTCTGTAGAATCTAATTGCACATAAGTGTTTTTTATTCGATTTGTATTCTCCTCAGCTATGATTGAGTTGGACGGCGATGAGGTCAGAATCTCATCCAGAGGAAGATATGCTGAGAGGGACATTGTTCAGGTACACACTCTTTCTTTCTCTCAGATCATTGCGCAGTGCTTTCACAGTAATGAATAAAGAAACCACGTCCAAGATTACAAATGAGCTCTGCCACTTGGCCACCTAGACCCTTTGTCATGACTTTTTTTCAGATTTTATCCCTAATGACAAAGCTGATTTATTTTGATTCTGAATTTGAGAACCACCAGCAGTCCAAATCAGCCATCTATGCACCCCCGGGGCAAATATGAGTTGCTGGGCCCCTATTAACCCTGTGTTCCTACCTTATATAACTCCAAGACTACCTGTCCCCAGGTTTGCTCCTTTTGAATTTAACAAAACACATTAATTTAGGAAAGCTTAGAAGCACAAAACCAGGATATTAAAGGTTGTAAAAAACAAGATCAGTTCAAGGTTTCTTATATTGTTCTTTAGAAGCGCATATTCCGAAACAAAATGATAATTAAATAAGCACACTTTGACACACAATAAGATTGGAGCTTTTTGGTTCCCTGGAGGTCTGGAGCCCCAGGGTAGTTCCCCACTTTTCCCAGCTGATAATTCAGCCTTGGTAAAAAAAAAAAAAATCTTGATCTAGGTGTCATTTGTTAACCTGTTTTTGCAAAAGTATCAAAACTCATTCAGTGGCAGTTTGATGTCGGACATAGATTGTCAAAAATCCAAACTTTGCAGAGGATTTATTTGGAAGTGAAGAAGAATTGTATATTTTTTAAAGCCGAGTGGCTAAAAAACACCTGAGTCCCATCCAGGTCGTTCAACTCTGTCCATGCAAACAGACACCTGGTCACCTCGACCCCGCGGCGCGCCAGACCACAGATGGCAAGATGCACACACACACACATGCCATAGAGAAAATGGCATGCTCCCCGGTATCTGTGAAGTCTGCCAAATCTCTGTTTCTCTGTATCTTTCTCATTAAAGTGGACGAACAGAGATCCTCAGCTCTAACCCGGCCTAATGTATGGGTTAAAAAGCCTGCAGGGCAGCTTGGGTCTGCAGTCGGTCAGACAGAAGGGACCTGGGGAGTGAACTGTAGACAGAATAAAAAAAGCTGGGACTTTTTAACCAAGCTGCTACAACTACTATCAGATGTCACCTTCTTACTTTTCCTCTTTTGTAGTTCTTCCTTTAAATCCTCCCAAAAATACGCCATTGGAAAGTACAAGAATGCTGAGATTGGCTCCTCAAAATCTACATTGGTCATTAATCCACTCCATGTATTCATCCTCTATGTTCACGTCTGTTATTTATACACATGTTTGTTTATCTGACAAGTGTTACTTTTCATACTCGTGGCATTGCCTGGCATCAAGACAAAGAGAAGAAATGCAAACATCCAGAATGAGCTGTTTGTTTGGTTTTTTTTTTGTCCTCTGTGACCTTCTCAGCCCACGTGGGCGAGGGAGGCAAGCTCGTTAGCTGTCTTTTTAACAAGCTGAGATACACAAACACACACACACACACACACACACACACACACTTGCGTGCACATGTAGAAAAGACTGGGAGATGGTGTAAAACTAAGTTTCAGTACTGGAACATTATACCAGCTCTGCCTACAGGCTCTCATTATCAGCAAGCTAATAACCCTGAGTGACATGGTGGGGTTTACTTTTCGCAGCGAGGGCTTTCCAGCACAAATTGGCCTCTCATATGATCCTGTGATTGTAGGTGACAACAGCTCATTAAGTAAATGAAAAAGAGACATCCTCTTATCTGTCCTCATTTAGTTCCGTAATATTGAGCAGTCTTGAGAGTAACAGCAAAGGTTGCCTGATGGTTAAAGAAATCAACAAAAATATCCACCAAGGGTTCTTTAGCTAAACACTGAAAAACGTAATATTATTAGTCTGGGTAAGAATTAAGTATCTGTTTTGATGTGAAGTGGTAACTCAACTTGGGTTTTATTTATAATTTACTCACTATTGCTTTTGATATTGCCACTGACCAGACAATAACACAAACAGACAATCAGGTTGTAGAGAGTTTAGAGTTTTTAAATTTTAAGTGAGTGTACCTAAAATACATGCAATTATAAGACTAAATACACAAGATAATAGTGTGTGTACAACTATAGTAGGTCACAGTACGTTGCAGTTGCAGTAGGTTGTAGTAGGTTGTAGTAGTCAGTCTGTAAACTGTGATACAACAAATTAAATCCATCATAAAATCAGCTGCATTCAAGTCTTGCTGGGCTGTTGACACATTTTAAGCACAATAGCAATCCCTGGCCTCATGTTATATTGTAAAAAAATGATCCCAGTGAGTTTCACACAGTGTGGTTTACAGATTTTATTAAAAATTAGGTTTCTGACTGGTTACTGACCAGTTCTTGCATTTGCTGTTGTGAGGATCAGTGCTGATCCCCCATTTGAACCTCATATTATCATATTGGATCCCAGTAATCCCAGACATCTGCTAGAGCTAACTAGGTCTCAGTATGTATCTGCTGGCTCCGTGCCCGTCTCCTCGCTCTGTCTTAAAGCTTGAAGATGCTCAATTTCACACACCAGCAGCCCCAAATAGCGCCAGCCAGCTTTAATGCCTAATATTTCAGTAAGCACATGACATCAGTATTTGCACATTCCTTATATCTACATTGGCTGCTTATCGCTGTGACTTTAGGGATCCAAATGCTGTTTAGGAGGACGTTTTATTCACTGGACAACCAGAGTTTCTTCTCGGAAAATAGGGCAAATCTGCAGCATCTTAATTAGGGTAGACTCTCTTCTCTGTAGCAGCGCCAATTTGTGATCTAGGCTGGAGAGATGATTGTGTTTCATGAGCTTCTTCTGCTGCTTAAAATAGTGAACAAAGCAACTTGAAACAGAGAGGATGAATTATGTTATATAATTGGAATTCTTTCTTTGAAGTTCTTTTTCTTTTTTCTTTTTTCATCACTCTCCCCGCTTATTTTAGCCCCCATACGCTTCACCCTCATTTCTCTTCTCTTAATCTTATTTGTGACCTCTGCCCCGTGTCTTTTCACTCCACCTGCTCTTTCTTTTTTTTACAAAGTTAGAGGGAGGAGTTTAGGGAACAGTTGATTCCTGTTTTTCTGTTTCTCTTCCTCAACATCTATTTCCCTTCCTCTTTTCAAAATATCAAATAAAATCATTTTCCTTCCTTCTCTCCCCTCTCAGTTTGTCCCGTTCAGGGACTACATCGACCGGACAGGGAACCACATCCTGAGCATGGCCCGGCTCGCCAAAGACGTCTTGGCCGAGATCCCCGACCAGTTCCTCTCCTACATGAGGACCCGCGGGATCAAGCCGTCGCCAGCGCCGCCTCCCTACACGCCACCGGGGCAACCCCTCCAAACCCAGATATGAGGAGCCGAGTGGAGAAAGGTTTCGGAGTCGGGGGTTAGCTGAACTTTACGCGTGAAATACTTCCATTTCCCTAAAGCCGCTCTCCATGCCTCGTCGTCGTGGATCACGGTGGTCTTTCTCGTGTTCAGGAAGCTGCATGTCGGGCCAGGAGAGTGTCGCTTTTAAGGACAGGAAAAGCCAATGAGAGTCTGTTTACTTCCACTGTCAAGCATTCCTGTTACTGTCTGGAATTTATTTATTTTTTTGACTGGGAAACCTGGTCGTGCTGTGATGAGAGTCTGAATTCAAGCTGGGAAGTAAAGAAGGAAGGAAGGAGAAAATGAAGGACAGCTCTTGGGAAACACTGTAAAGAGAATGTCTCCAGACAAAACAAAGGAATCACTTGATCTTAAATGAACTTTTTTCTGTAAATAACTGGACATACTTCTTCTTTCTCTGTCTCTTTCTCACTATCTCTCTCTCTCTCTCTCTAACTCACTCATTGTTTACAGTAAACGCTAACAAGGATTTTTACTGTTGATACTTTTATATACACATAGTTTCAATATGAAGCTTGTAATATTCTCTCTCTCTCTCTCTCTCTCTCTCTCTCTCTCTCTCTCTCTCTCTCTCCTGGCATGTGCGTCAGGTAGCAGCAGTGCAGGTCCTGGTAGCCCTTCTGTACCGTACCGTGCTGTACCGTACCGTACTGTATTCTGGTGTTTGTATTAACCTTTTGCATGAGTGTAGCCTCAGTCAAGTGCATGCATATAGTGGCCCTGCACTACCTCTTCTACCCATCCGTCTGTCTGTCCGTCTGTCCGTCTGTCTGTGGGGGTTTGAGTGTCTGTCTGCCTGTATCTCCATTTGTCACTTCACCCTGTCTGTCTGCACTGCTCTCAGGCCTGAGAAGTCTATCTGTCTCCCTTGTGCAACCTTTCTTCCTCTCTTTCTCTCTCTCTCTCTTTCTTTTATGCCTCTTTTACTAGCTGTGTTTCCATCCGACTTCTCTTTTCTTGGTAAGGTGTAAAAGACACGCTGAACAGAAAATGCATAATTTTCATGCTCATCAGATAGAGGAATGTTTTTATCACAGTCAATCAATAGCAAAGGAATTCTCTTTCCATTCCTTGAAATAATTGGTTCAAACTAATTCATATTTAAAATGTATATTATTTTATTTTTTTATTTTTATATATTTTTCATCTACCATCGTCGAGGAGATTTTAATTTGCCCAGTACTTTGATTATGACCTGTAAAACTAATGACATTCCCATCAACCTCAGCTGTACTTTGTGTTTAGTGCTAACCAGCAAACGTTAGCATGCTAACACACTAAACTAGGATGATGAACATGGTAAACGTTACACCTGCTAAACATCAGCATGTTAACATTGTTATTGTGAGCATGTTAGCATGCTGATGTTAGCATTTCTCTCTGTACAGCCTCATGGAGTCTCTTACTCTTAATACGACTCACATTAGCAAACATTTCAGAGAAAATGATTTTGTTTCTTACGTTTCCGATGCCAAGATGATGAAGATTGTGCAATTTCTGTTTTCCAGCATTTCATATTTTTGCATTGAGTTTTTATTTGACTTCTGAATGGAAGCATAGCTACTCTCTCTCTCTCTCTCTCTCTCTCTCTCTCTCTCTCTCTCTCTCTTGTCTCTGTTCTCCTACAAACTGCCTTGGCAATAGGATGCCCACGTGCCCAGGGGTTTCGTCTCATCGTGTCGTCTTAACACCACTTCCCCGCCCCATGTTTAAAGCGACAGCAGCTGCTCTCAAACTAAATACTGTTTGAGCATAAAGAGCCCAGTGGTCAAAAATGCAGAGAAAAACACACTTTCCCTATGTTGGCTTTTTGTTCCATTTTATTATTTTTTTTGGTGTGTATTTTTATTGCACCGTTAGCTTTGATATAGCTTTTATATATTTGTTTTTATGATGTGTATTTCTACGTGCCAATCATGTGGAAAAAGACGATTTATGTGATTCCTGTCTGCCACTTTTCCAATTTAACATCGAAGGATAATTTCCTAACGACGTCTAACTGAATGAGAGTTCTGTTTGTTGCGAATGCGGAAGGATTGTTCAGTGTTGTGCTGAAAGTGTGTTTCTATTATGTGTGAGCATGTTACATGAGAATGAGATTGTGTGTTGTTGTATGAAACAACTACGTCTTTTAAAACAACATTCGATGAAATGTTTAAAAAGTCTTGGAGCAGGAATATTTTAACGATTATTGAACAGCACCAACAATGTGAAAGGATGTTTTAGCATTGCAGTGATGTTAAAGCTTACAGTATTTTTGTTGTATCAAAACAAATTAGTCTTAAATATGGTCATTTTGAGCAGACCATCATTTTTAACAGCCATTTGTTTATAATGGGCCTGATGTTTCCAGATGTTACAGTCAATTTGTACTCAACCAAACAGCATCAATAAGTGAACACAGAGCTGTTATTGTAATGGTCAATAATCAGTTTAATCGGTTTAATACACAAACATTTAAAGTGTTCACATTTTGAAAATACAAATGGTTACATAATCATGTTACAACCTATTAGTCAAACATGTCTAAATACTTCTAAAAAGAAGGTTATTTATAACTGATATTATTCACACAGTTTGTTTTGATTATATTACATCGCTGCCTTGTGTAGTTGCTTCCCATCTTTTTTTTTTCTCCCCCTCACAGTCCCTTCCTGTATTGGAGCAGAGTGCTGATACGGTTGGACTAACTGCATGAGTGTGTGTTTGCAGTCACACTCCTGCAGCCACCCACTGCGTTCAAAGCGTAGCTGGACACATCATTAGGACTGCAGGTCAAAATAAGGAGCTCATTACTGCCTCAGCAGATACACTGTAAAACCCACGTCCTCCAAACTGTTCCAGATCCAACACCGGTAGGTCAGAGCTGAGGGTATTATGGCTTTTGTCAATTGGAAAGGCAGAGAAGGGATCTGTTTTGGGAGGTGGGGCTACCAGCTTGGAGTCAGCTTAACTGTTTGATGTTAGTTATTGGCGACAATTTAGCTGGAATTTCTTCTGATGGAGACTAATTTCTGTATACAAAGATAAAAGCAAGTCTTTAGCAGCAGCCACTGTGGACACAAGTGAAATCTACAGGATGATGTTCAGTTACAACTTGAGTTCTATTTTTGATGCTCCGGCTATGATAATATTATAGACATCAAACTGATTGCTACATTTCTGTGTTACAGTCTTAAGTTTGCTAACATTAGCTAAGATTAGCCACTGTAAGCTACTGGTCAGTCCAGACCAAGCTGTACCCCACAGTGTATTTTATTGCTTATGGATTTACCTTTTCATTTTTAAGAGGAAGAATGTGTCCTTTCTTCTTCCAAAAGTTACATCATCTCATTTTAAAGATTCAAACATAACCCATCAGAAACAATGTGACTTCCATATTGCTCCAAGCTAATTCTTTATGTTTTCTTGACATTTATTTAACTTGATAATTGGCTGGCCAGAGTCAAACCCAAGACTGATGTACGCACGATACAGACAGTCCGCAGGATGCCCCCCTTTCATGCCATTTGAATGGCTAACTACCTCCTGTTTCAAGTCATGTGTTCTTCAGCAAATTCTTTCAGGGTAGGAAAATGCACCTCTTACTTCATTTAACTGACAAAGCTTGTCGACTAGGATAGGACACATTATGAAAGCAAATAAAAGTCTGTAAGAAAGGCTGTGAAATGTAATCACTGCAGAATACTGTTGTTATTACCACTGATTGTAGCATTTAGATATTTAACAATTGATCAGAATTGATTTCTGATCTTTGACATTTTTTACGTAAACTTTAAAGTCTACTAAACTAATTGGTCATTTTGATCTTAAAAATTCAAATCAGTTAAAATCAAGTGAAATTCAGATACCAAAATTCAAATTTTATTGTGCAGGTTACAAAACCTGGAAACTTGAATTTTCTATCTGAACTTTTGGAATTTAAATCACATTCGTTTAGATTGACAAGTTTCAAATTAAAATATTTCAGTAATATAAATTCAGTGGTATTTCAGTTTCAGAACATTTCTGCGGTTTCAAAATGTATTCATAAGCTAATATTTTTTAACATTATTGTTATTTTGGCCTTTCTTTGCTTCTGTACCCACAAACAAACACACACATTATTGCCATAGTCATCAGTGCCAGTTGTTGTTATTATCATTATAATTATTATTTTTCCATCCTTATTCATATTGCAACAGCTCACCAACTTTGCCAAGCCCCATAAAAATGTGTGTATGTGTGTGTCTGTGCGTGTGCATGTGTTTGATATAAATATACTTTGCCTGTGTGCGAGTGTGTGTGCGTGCGTACCGGTGTGGCACCTTTATAAGAGTGTTTTAATAGACTATGTGAGGTGTTGAGACACATAAGATCTTTGTTTACTAAAGCTATCCAAATAATATATTGTATGCTCGTCATATCTTCTTAACAACGTGCACTATGTTTGCATGTACAGTTTTACAAAGGATGCACCAGTTCCTTTTGTTAAAAACTGAGTGTTTTGAAATATAAAAATCTATATGAAAATTAACTGTACAAAATGGCCTTAAATCTTTCACTGATTTTCTTGGAATTGTGCGATGCCTTCTTCAGAAAAATGAATTGTTTAGAGGAATTAATCGTTATCTATTTTGTGTCAGTGTTTCTATTGCTTTCTAGTGTATTTTCTTTGCACAAGTTCAATTATTGAGAAAAAAAAACTTATCTTGTACTTTTTTGAAACCGTGATTAATCAGAGAAAGCATGGCTGAAGTACTGATTGTCTGATAATACATATAATAGATGACTATTTCTGTATCGAACTATGGATTTTTAAATAAATATTCATATTAAACACAACATTTTGCGAGTCTTAGTCTTAAATATTCTCTTATTTTCCTTTCTGTACTGTCTGTCTTTCCTCTCTCCTTTCATAGCTTATTAGGACTAATATGTGGTTTGCTCCCTCTGACAGGATAATTATACTACATGAAAGTCTTCCCACACCAAAGACAAAGCACACGGACACAGGACCGCTAGCCTCGAGCAAGGCACTAAAACGCTGCTGCAAAAGCATGAGGAACATCGAAGGTGTGTCACTGGGGCAAATCTTTCTGTTCTCTCTGAATCATTCCGAGTCCTGTAGTAAATCTGAATCTGTCATCCGCCTGCCGAGGTGGCAGCAATTTCCTGTATTAATTGACACGTTTAAAGAGGCAATTAGTAAGACTGTCAATGCCCTGTCACACAGAAATACCCAAATTTCTACTGTTTATCTGCCGGGGGTTGATAAGGTTCATCAACACTCAATAACTCAGCAAGTACTTCAGCAGGTGCTGAGAGTCTTGATTTCCAAAAGTCACGATCCAGCTTGTTTTTGTCAGCATTGTAGGATATTCTCACTCCTGCCACTCAGAGTGACAGAAGGCGTACAGAGTTTTGCTACTGTAAGGAATGTCTTACTGCTCCTATGAGAGAGGTAAATAAAGGTCGTTAAAGTATAAGCATGACATTTTGGGAAATACACTTATTTGTCTGCCAAGGGTTGGTACCGCTCTCGTGTTGGGAGCTGGAGCCGACAGGTGGTTAGCTTAGCAATAGTAGCTTGGCTCTTGCTAAAGTTAAAAACAAAAACCTACCATTGATTGTTTAAACCAAATCCAAACGGACCTTTACAACTTTTTACAAAAGCCAGGCTGTTCCCCTGCTTCCTGTCTTTGTGCTAATAGCTAATCACCTCCCTGCTCCAAGTTAATGCTTAAAAACATCTCTCGGCAAGAAAGCGGGTAACGGTATTTCCCAAAATGTTAAACAAATTTCTTTAAACGTTGTGCATGAAAATGTATAATATATCAGTAATCAGTGTTTCTACGCAATCAGGGTTTAAATGACCAGTGTGTGGGATTTAGTGTCATCTAGTGATGTAGGTGCAGATTGCAAATCCCTCGTTTCACCCTCCCCTTCCAAGCATAAAATGGCCCTATCTACAGCCAGTGTTTGGTTTGTCAGTTTGTCAACTGTAGATATAAAAGGCTAATTTTAAAGTTAACCCTAATGCAAACAAAAACATAACGATTCTTATTTCCATACACTATGAATATTATATTCCATTTATGCCAATAGATCCTCCTAAATGTTAACTAGTAGACCTTGTTTATGTTGCTGTTTTGATCTTTTTTGCATTCAATCTTTTATTTTTTTTTAAAGTTAAAGGGATATTAAATATTAATATAAAACAACACTAACCATCAGCTGACTGTTACATAAAAGTACTCATAAATGCCTGCAACTTTACTGGCTCATTGCCAATAAGACGACACATTGCCAACTTACATTCACCAACTTCTGAACCCTGAAACTTCTTCAGTCTGCTTTTATCTCGCTATATGGTGACTACAATCACTTTCACTCTCTAATGTCAATTATGCGTGTCCATATGAGCCGTTGTTTACATGGTAACTTCATCAGTCTAATTGGCAATTAGCGTTATTCCTTCAAACTCCCTCTCACTGTGCATCTGGTTCCAGCTTGAAAACAAACGTGTTGATTTGTCTCATACCGTATGTTGACTCTCACTATTGTTTGTTACTTTGGTAAACAGAGAGTCAATAACATATGCATTGATTGTTGTTTATCTCCTTGAGGCTTATCGCTGAGGGCGTCAGCAAAGAAATATCAAAGTCAAAATCAGACTTACTAACAGATAATGTCGTGTTGCTGTGTATTAACACATTTCAGCCTTTTAGTTACTTATTTATTATACCACACATGGGTGCTGATAACTTTTAAAGCTAAAAAACCCATAAAATTGAGAATAGAATGTGGATTTTTCTAGATTGAACATCGTTGACATTTCAGAATGGATGGCTTGCGTTGCGCTGGAAGAAGCATCCACAGTGAATATGTCAGCATTATGTTGATAATAAAGATGGCTGACGGTGACATGGACAGATGTAATCAAGAATGCACACAGCGTCCCCGCTGTCCACAGAGACCCCAATCAATCACCATCAACCCTCTTGTGTATATTAGATGGATGTCAGCTGTTGGCCCATCCACTTTTCCCTCCATAAATGCGCTCATAAATTTCGAGAGCAGACAAAATTGGCTGATGAATTTGCCTTATTATAGATCAACATTTGCATATATTTGCAAAACAAATACACTCAGCTGGCGTCACATTTGGCCCGATAAAAATCAAGCCTGAAATTGCGTATTGGCCGCCTGAAGTGAAGTGAAGTGAAATTAGAGCTTAAGTGAAGTTTGTACACGTATAAAAAAACAAGACACCAACGAGGGAGGGATTCCACATCAGCAAAAACAAAATCACTGTTTTTTTATTTATTTCCAGACCGGCCGAGAGGAATGTGTGTGTGTGTGTGTGTGTGTGTGTATGTGTGTGTGAGATATCCAGTCATTCCATCCTTGTCGCAGCCTTGTATGGATGACAATTTATTTGCTTTCTACATGGAAAACTACAGCCAGATATTAATGAGATCCTCAACCTCTGCACCATAGCACTCCAGCATATTCCTTTCTCTGAATTCAACTCTGTGAAAATAGAGAGTGCTTAACATCTCAAAAAGATGTACAGATCTTTAAGGAGGTTTTGCGAGACAGGTGTTATTGTCTGTTTCTTGCAGGTGTGACTGACTCAGGTCGTCAAGGAAACCCAGCTCACCTGGTCTGATTGCATGCTGCTATACATAAGTTAGTGGCAGACATCCAGTCTCTGGTTTGTCTTTCTGAGCCACACACACCCTGCTTGTTTTCATCTTGGTTTGTAGTCTCTTCAAGTAAACCTTCTGTTTTCGGTTCACTCCTATGATCTTTTTGTCCTTCCTTGAGGCACGTTGAGAACGAGGAAACTGCTCAGTTACATGTCACGTGACAGGTTTAAAAAAACACAATTAGTTCCTAACAACTAATCCACTGTGGCTGTGAAATGAAAACAGGCAGGTCAGCAGCACAACAACACCAAGTCCTCTGTCTATATATGTCCAGCCACAGAGGACTGGTTGCACAGGTGGTCTTAATAACAGTGTACGGCTCAGTTCCATTAAGCGTCACAGTGACAGTGAACCAACACACACAATAGCAGGACTTCCTCTAAGTGGTATGCAGGTATCATTAATGCACCTGTGAGCTTCCCCATGTAGGCTGAGGCACAACGGCAGCAGCGAGGGTTCGATTCCGACCTGTGGCTCTTTGCTGTGTGTTGTCCCCCCTCTTTCTCACCCCCACTTCCTGTTAATCTTCACCTGTTACTATCACATAAAGGTATAAAAAGCCAGAAAAAAGAAAATGTGATAGTGAATATTTCGTTTCAAAGAGCACCCTGTCTTAAATATTTATAACTAAATAAGCAATAATACTACCTAAATATGTATTTTTAATATATAGCCTATTAAGGTATGGTTTATTTATAGTTTAACACTCAAAGTTTACATTTACAATATATTTTAAAACCATAGTAGATGGTAAACAAAGAGAAGACAAATACAGTCAATTTGCAATAATAATGATAATAATAATAATAATAATAATAATACCACAAGTTAAACAACATTGATGTTCCTTTTTGTTATTTTGTGTCTTAGTGCTTTCTGGCATTTTCTGAGTATTTGCTCTTATTTCCCTTCACTGTGGCCACCAGTTTGACTTTTTTGTGTGTTGCCAAATCTACACTATATACCAAAGATCACTGAAAAGCCAATTTTAGGGGAAAAGATGTGGACGTTGACACACCATTGACAAACTGGAATTTCTATTATAATTTATCCTTATTTTGTCCCAAAAGAAATTGCCTAATATAGATTAAAAATAGACCCAGACTGTAGATACTAAATGTTATATGAATTAATTATTAATATTGTTATCTGCCACAATCCTCAGCTGCATTTATAATTTGTAGAGTCACATGAAGAGCTTCAGCTTAAACATGCTTGTGTGTTTGCAATGCAAAGGTGATCTGTGGGGAGAGCCTCGTGCTTGCCTCTGGTTGCTTTAAATAGCTTTATTTTCCCAGCGTCCCTCGAGGCCTATAAGGAGGAGATGGATGGATTGATTGAGGGGAAAAGAGACGCAGGGTGAGGGAAGGGTGCTAATATCACTGTCAATCAAGAGCTAATACAATGGCAACAGGGAGAGAGCGTATTGTAACACTGTGTACAAAACAAATGACATACTACATGCACAAACACACGCACGTACAAACACACGCACACACACACACACACACACACAGGAGGAGTAACACTGCTCATTAGAGCAAAACAAGGCAACGAATTCAGAGCAAGCTCCACCTGAAGAAAATGAACAGCATCAAAGGCAAATTTAATTATTAAATAATTAAATTTTGATTTACTTCTTTGTGTGTCCTCTTTAGCTGTGATAATAATAAATATTAAAAAGTGTTTTCATGCCCAAAAAATAACAATTCAACCTAAGCATAAGCACACAGAAGCACACTTATAAATAATAGTAATAATATAAATAAATCCATACTGTTAGAAAATAAGAAATAATAACTTAATTGTTTAAATACTTATTCGCCAAATAATTATGTGGTAATTAGTTGATACAAAAGGTCACGTGAGGGGTTTTTTTCCCCTTTAAAAAGACCTGACGTCTTAATGCTTGAGTAAGTCTAATGAACACTGTGGTCGGTGTCTGTCAACCAGGGTTGTAATTATGTTCGATTGTCACTTCCTGACACAGTCTGTAGCTTAGCAACCTGCCACGGAGACGGAGCTAAAGTTGGATTCAACTCATTTGAATATTCCCCAGAAATTAAAAAGAGAGAGAAACTCAGGTGGTTGGTGGAATACTAAGTGCAGAGTTGCATTTTCTAAACCTGA